TAATAAATATTATAAGTTATTATATAACAGTCAATATAATAGGCTAATAGTTGATTTAATGGTTGATCTAGCAGCTGATATAATGGTTGATATAATAGATTTATGTGATATAATAGTTGTTATAACGATTAATAAAACAAATAAGTTTGAAAAATAATTATCTGATAGTCTAAAGTAGCCTGTAAATAGTCAAGAATCTTTCCATTTGTAAACCAGAATATACCTACCATTTTATTATATTAAAAGATTGACTTTTAAATATAACAAAAATTAAAATCACAAGTAAAATTTGAAAGCATAAGAGCTCGTGTCAGTTGAATTACTTTATACAAGAATAGATTAAAAAAAATAAGACAGATAATGATATAATATGATTCTCACAATGATAATGCGATCATAAATCATCTAATACTTAATATATTTTGTATAAGAATCAATATCTCTATAGAATAAATCCATATGCTGCATAATTCTATACAGACTCAATAATTCAAACACTAAAAAAAGTCCATGTTACAACTGAATACAATGTATATATAGTTTTAGTTCGATCAAATAAATTCTAGTATTAATGCTAGTTGAAAGTGAAAAGACAAAACTTGAATTGCTAATTATTTGTAAGCTATCTAATAAATTGCTAAAAATTTATCAAACTATAGTTGTTAGAAACCTTTTTCAAATGATAAAAAATGAATTTCAAATTCTTCTAACGAAAGATAAAACCCTAGTGCTTTTACTAAAAAACAAATTTATCGAGATCAGTATCTAAAATTACATTTAAGCCAGCAAATAGTTGTCGTTCAATTTCCCGAAAGCTATTTACCTGACAGAACATTTACTTGATATCACATAGATTAGATTTAGCATTTAATTAGCTGTAGATTTAGCAATTTGTCACCTGTATGATGTCAGGTAAATGTCTTGTCAGGTAAATAGTTTTCAGAAAATCATACCATAATCTAGCAAAATAGTCTAGTTCATTTTTTCAAACAATGCTAGAGTTGTTATAGATTGCAGGACTGGTTGAAATAATCTTGCCATAGTACTTGTGGAATAACGCATATTGTTAACTACCTGAGTTAAGACGGCCTATTAAAGTATAAAGCTCTTCAAGTAAACAGTGATACTGTCATACTTGAGATTAGTACTTGTTTTGATGAAAATTGACAAAAAAAAGATTTCAAAAAATCAATTATCTCACGAATTATCAATCAGAATCACATAATTTTAGTACCATTCAATTTGTTTTATTAAGATGAATCGAATAGTACCAAAATCATATAATTTTGATTGAATGATTCAGATAATCCATTCAAATATCCAAATTAAAAAAACCGGATATCCAAATATAGCTTATCAGATAAATAGATGATGGATTGATCCAGATTGGAACTTTACATGATAATCAGTTAGATTATACAAGATAATCGCAAGGTGTCAGACCTGTAGTTTTAATGTTTAACTCTCTCTACAGGAATATGACTTGATTAAATAAAGGTATTGATATAATCTACCAAAGTGAAACAAAAAAAACTATAAAACTTACAAGAACCTTATATACTTTTATTGGCCTATTACTTTTTTAAAAAAATTTTTGTAAAAAGTAAATATTTTAATTTACTTTTTTTTAAAAGATTGATATTATATATACCAAAATAACTAATATTGTTTATTTTTTAAATTGGTATAACAAGATAACAAATACATTATAATATATATTTCAAATATAACAATCTAATCAAACAATGCTCTAAGATTTAAATTAAGTACTAATATTTCTAAATAGTTCTGATTAATAAAATTTTTCTACTAGTTTTTAACTTTTATATAATATTTAAATAAATTTAGAGTAGAAACTAATTTGTTTAATAATATATAATTTTTACAAGCTTTTTTTTTCTTTATTAGTAGCCTCACTAGTATCTTTATTAGATTAAAGCACAAATATACAAGTATATTTTAAACTATTTAAGTTAAAGATCTGATATCACTCAGCTTTCTCTATAGGTGCCCAAGTGTAGTCTACCTCATTAGTAAAAGCAATTGCCCATACTAGAGAGCTATATCAAGCTGGCTAGTAAAACTATAGCAAGATAGTTTTGAAACAAAAGAATTTTTAACTATATTAAGTTAGCAATTTTTTTTTTCAAGATATCCTTTTCTTTGTAACTATAATCTAATTTTATATCTATATTAATATATATCTAAATCTATATTATCTTTTTCTATAGAAGTATTGGCAATATTCTTTTACTTATACTTGTTTTTTTGCTTTCATTTCTTCTAGTTTATTTGATCCTTACCGATTAGTAAAATGGCACTCAAAAGTTTTTTT